GATGAGAAGCAACCCCACACATGAATGGTCTCAGGATGCTTTACTGTTGGCCTGACACAGGACTGATGATAGCGCTCACCCTTTCTTCTCCGGACAAGCCTTTTTCCAGATGCCCCAAACAATCGGAAAGAGGCTTCATCGGAGAATATGACTTTTCCCCAGTCCTCAGCAGTCCATTCACCATACTTTCTGCATAAGATCAATCTCTCCCTGATATTTTTTTTTTGGAGAGAAGTGGCTTCTTTGCTGCCCTTCCTGACACCAGGCCATCTTCCAACAGTCTTCGCCTCACTGTGTGTGCAGATGCGCTCACACCTGCCTGCTGCCATTCCTGAGCAAGCTCTGCACTGGTGGCACTCCGATCCAGCAGCTGAATCCTCTTTAGGAGACGATTCTGGCGCTTGCTGGACTTTCTTGGATGCCCTGAAGCCTTCTTAACAAGAATTGAACCTCTTTCCTTGAAGTTCTTGATGATCCTATAAATTGTTGATTTAGGTGCAATCTTAGTAGCCACAATATCCTTGCCTGTGAAGCTGTTTTTATGCAACGCAATGATGGCTGCACGTGTTTCTTTGCAGGTCACCGTGGTTAACAATGGAAGAACAATGATTTCAAGCATCACCCTCCTTTTAACATGTCAAGTCTGCCATTCTAACCCAATCAGCCTGACATAATGATCTCCAGCCTTGTGCTCATCAACATTCTCACCTGAGTTAACAAGACGATTACTGAAATGATCTCAGCAGGTCCTTTAATGACAGCAATGAAATGCAGTGGAAAGGTTTTTTTTGGGATTAAGTTAAATTTCATGGCAAAGAAGGACTATGCAATTCATCTGATCACTCTTCATAACATTCTGGAGTATATGCAAATTGCTATTATACAAACTTAAGCAGCAACTTTTCCAATTTCCAATATTTGTGTCATTCTCAAAACTTTTGGCTACGACTGTACAACCAGTTGACAACTATTTGAGTTGGATGGACTACTCCAACGACTTACTGTGCCAATAATATGGACTTATTGGCACAAACTGACTCCAATCTGTGTGAAAGTGAATCCAGTCGGTCCGAGTCAGACCTAAATGTTTGGAAACTGGTTGCCTCTCACCAGCTAATCTGAGCAACAGCTTTGCAATCAAAGTAGCACCCAGAAATACAACACAATACAAATACAACAGAATACAACACCCTCAACCCCTGGGCAACCATTTGGTCACCACAACTTATTGCAGTCAATCACAGAATATGAAAATTCTTCAATAAAAACAAAGTGTGGGGGGAGGGTCGACCCTGATCACAAGGAAACTTCAAGAAGTCATGAACAGGACAGAAGCGGTGTTATGTGAAATAACAACAAAAGACTCAATTATTGTAACAGCAGTGAAAATTCAGTTTATTCTGGGATTTTGTTGGCTAAAATGTTAGCAACAACCTTTACCGTATTAAGGCATGCAGTTCGTATTCATATAACTTATCCGGATAACAGAAAGCAGTCCCGCAATATGTCATCCAGTGGGGCCATGTTTATGTGTTGATTCACCATGGAGTTTTGATACCTGGGTTTCATTTCTCATTCTGTTTTCTCTGTGCCTGCAGGCTGTGTGCGCAGGTTCCAGTGCTGCCAGATCAGTGAGGAGGGAGACAAGTTTAAGAGCTGGTGGACACTCAGGAAAACCTGCTTTATCATAGTAGAGCATAACTGGTTTGAATCCTTCATCATATTCATGATTCTGCTGAGCAGTGGAGCACTGGTGAGTGGGTGTTAGACGTCTTGATAAACACTGCTGGGGTCTGTCTCATGAACAGAGTTTGTTCTTCACTGCACTCGTTTGGCTTGCTTTTATATACTTTCTGTTTTTATTTCACAGTCTGAAAGCACCACATTTAGGACAGCTTCAGTTCTCTAAGTAGTTACTGTACCTGTTAACATTCTGAATAGATCTTTGATGAATCACTTATTTCACACTTCACAATTTCTATCTCAAGTTTCTATAAAATATTCCATGCTGCACAGGCGTTTGAGGACATTTACATCGAGCAGCGGCGGACCATCAAAACCGTGCTAGAGTACGCAGACAAAGTGTTCACTTACGTCTTCATCCTTGAAATGCTGTTAAAGTGGGTGGCATATGGCTTTGTCAAGTACTTCACCAATGCCTGGTGCTGGCTGGACTTCTTAATTGTAGACGTAAGTATATTCAGTGTTCGCTCTTATTAAAATTAAGCCTCCAATCTGGTGTACAATGAGACGATAGAACCAGAAAGCACCTTAACTTAGCATATGGACTGGTAACTGGAACAGACCGCTACCATGGCCCACACCAAGACTCAAGTTAGCAAAGTGAGCTGAATCTTCTTCCCTCCATTCTTTATGATAACATAAGCAAGCTCATTAAACATTCGACAAGAAAGAAAATTAACTTTAATAACAGCCATTCTGACATAATTGTAGTTAACTTATTGTTCTGTCATTTCTTTACTTGAAGTTGTTTGTTTTTCTAACACTCATTATGGCACAGAGCAAGTGAAATCCTTTTATTTTTCACCCTTCACCCTGCTTATCTGATATTATCTCCTCTCAGGTGTCCTTGGTCAGCCTGGTAGCAAATGCTCTGGGCTACTCTGAGCTTACCGCCATCAAATCTCTGAGGACACTGCGAGCTCTACGGCCCCTGAGGGCCTTGTCTCGGTTTGAGGGCATGAGGGTAAGAACAGCAGGAATACTGTTTGTGGGCAAGTTGAAAAAAAAAAAAGAATTAAGATCACACCAACCAATTACATCTTCCATATGCTTCAAAATGTCTAGGTTTCAGATATTCAGTTAAATTGTAAAATATGATGGAATTCAGTTTTACTTTTATCTGTTTATGTACCAATAGTTAAGGGAAAAAATACCACTCTCTTGTTAGTTAGTACAGTCGACGCCCAAAATTTGGAGGGTTATCCTCCTTGAGCACCTGCAAATTGTTAAAAACACACATTTCTGACATGCATATAAATCCCTATTTTTATAGTTTAAACCGTAAATATGCCCGAAATACGTGAGAGAGCTACGGGCAGTAAAATGTTATGATTCTGGAATACTGGACTGCCCGAGATGAATAATGCTCTTGGATTGGCTACTTTCAAACTTTCTATCACTTAGTACAGGGGTATGTCACGATGCCAAGCTGAGCTTTCCTCTATGGCTGCTTCATGTTGTTTCTACTAACAAGACTAAGAAGTCTCTACTTTTATAAAGAAAATTTAGTGTATTCTGGCTTGATTTGTCTGAGAACCTAAAAAATATATAAATACCTAACTGCAACCTGACTGCTGGCTGTGTCATGCAAAGATGATGACCTGCTCTAAATTTAAAAAAGCAGCCTGAGATCGAACCACCAACTTTCTGATTAGTAGATGACCTGCTCTATTCAATTCAATTTTCAATTCTAATTTATTCATACGGCGCCAAATCACAGCAGCAGTTGCCTCAAGGTACATTATATTGTCGGGTAGACCCTTACAATAATACATACAGACAAAAACCCAACAATCATATGACCCCCTATGAGCAAGCACTTTGGGGACAGTGGGATGGAAAAACTCCCTTTTAACAGGAAGCTCTACCTCCTGAACTACAGCCACCAGGTTCTGAGCATGTGCTCGCTGATTAATGACTTGTCAGATCATTAGTCAATGAGCACGCAGTTTCATTCCACAGATAATCCTCCATTAAGAAAAACAGTATGACCAAGACTTATAAAGACTTTTGGTAGCGATATCATTGCTATCATCTAACTCTGGGCAATGTAACGTAAATAGGTTTATTGTGCAAACGGTATGTAAAAATGCTCATTTGAACTTTCAGCCTACGTCTTTATTTTCCTTAAAAAGGTGAATTTTTATCACATTCTTTTTGTTCTCTGTATCTCTGAAGCTGTATAGACATTCTCAGTGTTTTTGTTAGATATGCTTTTAGATATGCTGAAGGGAAAATGCCCCCGTATTTTTTTTACTTTCGCGTTTTAATATTTTAATGTTACTTGATACATCTTTTTACAGAGATATTGTAAGAAGGTTTTAGCTTTTTAGGGGGCCTGCCTGTAAGACTGCATGCTTTTAAAACTTCTGTAAATGTATCATTTCCTTACAGTTGGACACTGTAATTGTTCTCTCTGCATGACTTTCTTCACATTGTGTTAATGGATTGCTGTATATAGCTGTTCTCAGGCATTGTTTTTCTGGCATTGCTTGCGTGGTGCCTTTGACCTGTAATTTTTTCTTTGTTGTGTGTCTTTTTTTCATTTACAGTCAAACAAAATGTTGTGACTTCATCCCGCCTCTCTAAGGTTTTTTTCTGTTTTGCTTTTTTACCTTTCAAATGGTAGCCTTTTCACCTATCCACCTTCCTCTTTCCAACTGTCATGTTGTTAAGTAGATATGTATGGTGTTAAGAGCTTTATGTGTGCAGATATTGTATATTAAATACAGCTCTGAGTAACACAGCTTCACTGTTAACTTTTGATTCAGTCTTGGTATTTGTTCTGAAAGCATAAACTTTTTGGCTCAATCCAGTCAGTTGACCACATGTGCTTCTGACAGCTAAGTGATAAGATAATTGTAATGGCCAGTTATCCTTCTTTAGCACAGACTTTGATTTGAGAAAATGGTGAGCTCTGAGTCAGACTGTGTGTTTTGACATCCCCAGGTTGTGGTGAATGCATTGCTGGGAGCCATCCCCTCCATCATGAACGTGCTGCTGGTCTGCCTCATATTTTGGCTCATCTTCAGCATCATGGGTGTCAACCTGTTTGCGGGCAAGTACTACTACTGCGTCAATGCCACCACGGATGAGCCCTTCCCTATCGAAGTCGTCAACAACAAGTCTGACTGCCTGAGCTTGAATGACAGTGCCCGCTGGAAGAATGTTAAAATCAACTTTGACAATGTGGGAGCCGGCTATCTGGCTCTGTTGCAAGTGGTGAGTTTAGCTTGCAATTGGCATTAAGAAGAAAAGAGCAGAAATTTCAAAGTATACATATGTATTTGGAATCATTTATGCCGAAACTGTCTGACTTCTACAATTCTGTTTTGTGATTTGAGTCTGTCTTTAGCTTTAATCTTGCAGTTGGCGCCATCCATCCGTAAGCTATATCCACTTATTCGTATAGATTGGGAGATTTTACTCTGGACAAATTGAGGAAAAAAAACAAGCAGGAAAAGAAAAACATGTAAACTCAAACACAAAGCCACCATCTGACCAGCACGCTTCAACACAGAACCATTTGGGGTTAGGTGAGAGGTTTGACAGGACCACTTAGTCAAAATTGGATTAGGTCATTTGTATGTGGTGGTATGTCTCAATTTGATGACCTACACACACAGATATGTTCAAAATCGTAACGCAAAGAGAGCACACAGCCGGTCCTTCCATGTATAAAGAGAGAAGGACTGAAGAATCTGTAGCCCTATATTGCCATTATGAGAGTATAATGAAAAATAATTGTGCTAACCTTGTAGTTCCATTCCTTGGACCTATTAGTCTGCTTGCCTATCGATTCCACTTATCAGTTCCACTTGCACTACAGTCAGCTGATTTCAGTCTGTGTGCCAGAAGAGGAAAACAGTGGCGCAGTCTACAGCATTGTTATAAACGTTACTTTTATTTTTTATTACATAAAAGGACAAGTGTGCAAACTTCAACAGGTAACAAATGTACAAGCAGTCAGGCTGCTGAAAATGTTTAGAGGCAGAAGCTGTTTGCTGTCATGCAAACATGTTCATGTGTCTAAACTAGAATCACTGTGGCATCACTATAAAATCTCTTTGTGCTGGTTTTCATCTTTGCCACTGCACTTAGGTGCCACTTGAGCTCCGGTACCAAGCAGAGTGAGCACAGGGGCCACTAGAAGATGCCGAACCCTAAGGCCATCCTCATGAAGTCTATTTTTGATTGTTTCTACTGGAGGTCGCTTTGTGGTCATTTTGTAGGGTTTTGGGAGTGCTCAAAAGAGCACCTACAAGTCCTGACGATGGGTTAAGGACTTCTACAGTCTTGTCTAGCTCTCATAGAGAAACTGCCCATCTCCTGCTAAAATACTGTTTCTTCTGTTACCTGCTTTTAGGCAACATTTAAGGGTTGGATGGACATCATGTATGCAGCTGTGGACTCTCGGAATGTAAGTAGATGTTTAACAGAGTTGTAGGTTTGCTTCCACATGGTGAAAAGTCCTTGCTTTTATATTTTAATATAATCTATTTTTAATATTTTCATCATATCTTTGTATATTGCATTTTTATGGTAGCTGGTATAACTTAACTAATTTGCTCTTTCTTGCTTTTCTAGTTGGAAGAACAGCCTAAATATGAAGTAAACTTGTACATGTACCTCTACTTTGTCATCTTCATCATCTTTGGCTCCTTCTTCACACTCAACCTTTTCATTGGTGTCATTATCGACAACTTCAATCAGCAGAAGAAAAAGATAAGTTTATCTTTATTTAAAAGTTATATTGACTAATAGTTTCTGTCAGCTAATGTAAACAGACGTATTTTATAGGCGTCTTTCAGTTTGGGCCTTTTAAGTTATATTATTTGTAAGGTATTACCTTTATTTATTGTATTTTTTTGGCTAAGTCTTAACACAGCAAAGGATTCTCATTATAGAGTTCAACTTAAGAGAGTTACCATTTTTATTCTAATGACTTGTTAGGATTCCTAATTGCAGCTAGCTAGCTAATTTGTGTTGTCAATCTGCAGTGAAATCTTCACACTGTTTAGTCACCAGAGACAATTCCTTCTAGTTTTCCTCTCCAGTTTATTAATTACAAGCAGATTTTGGACATGTAGCTCTTCTGTTTTTGCATAAATGTAAAACTATAGTTTGCTCAAAACACCAAAAATGTGTTTAGTATGAAATC